GTTTATGTCACGGTGCAGCCATCGTACCCTGAAAAATAGTTGCAACGGCTTCGCTCTGGCATTTGAGCATGCCTGCTGCGCGTCTACATTAAAAACAATGAATTTGACAGCACAGGAAACGCAGCATGTGTACGGCCTCTTATACTGTTTATTAGCACCTCTGTGTTGTTTCTGTCTCAGTAAAACAGTTGCACACGCAGTCCTGTCCAATTTCTATCTGTGGACATGTTGCTAAAGTATTTGTGTGTGCAGAATATAGCAGAAGGCGGTCAACTCGGGTGTGATGTCATTCCCAGCTCTAACTCATGACTCCGGAGGTAAATGGATTGCAGCATTAACACTTTAACTTTGGTATTTTAGGTATATTTTGATACTGATAATTTTGTACTTTCACTTAAGCAAACTTTTGAATGCTGGACTTCTAATCGTGACAGGAGAGGTTGTCCGATTTATTGGTTTGGCAGATTAATCGGCTGTCGGCTTTTTCCTGTTCCAAACTACCATCATTATATCAGCCTATAAAAATCCACAATTGGTCGACCTATAACAGAGCTGTTTAACGCTGTATTATTACGACTTTTATGAAAGTCAAATCTGAAAAAAAGATCTGAAACTTTTAAACTAGGGATGCACGATATTTGATTTTTTGCCGATATCCAATATGCTGATAAATAACAACTCCCTCAGCCGATAACCAATACCGATATTGATATATCTACTTTTTTCCCAATCTAATTTTAGTGATCCTCAAGTCTCTTCTGTAGTGGAATTAACATCATATTATGCATGCATACTCTTATCATGACGGCCCACCAGCAGATGGAGACATGAAATACTTTTCAATGTATGTAATATTCAGTCATTGTACAAAGTAAGAAAAACTATTCTGATTCGGCTAATACCACTGACATGCAACCCTATTTAAAACACCCAAAAAAGTTGAATAAATAAATAACAATAGTTATTTAAACAGTTCCTTTGCCACTGGGATTTTATAGCACACAGTCAGCCCAGAGATGCCCTGAAAATTCAGGAGTGAAGGGAGTCACGTGTCCAAGGAAGGCAAGACAGGCCAAAATGTTTTTTAAAGCCTCAACACCTGCCCCAGAAAACCCAACAACTCTGTCCAACGTAGACGTGGACAACTCCAGCCCAGGCCTGAGGCCAACACACGTCAGGGGCGGCTGCAGCTCTGCTAAAAGACTAAAAGTGTCTGGCCTCTATACAGATATCAATCTGTGGTCGGAGGGAACGCCATAATCTCAGTGTCTGAAATAATCCAAATTCATTAGGTACACCACAAGCACAAAAACCACATGCACGGATTAAGAGTTATAAACCCTCTGAAAATACTCACAAAAATAAGGATTACACAGCAACAAGATGTGAAATGAAGGAAAAGCATTTCCTCTGTCAGATTACCATCTTAAACGTGATGATTGGACTTTTGATAACATCCCCATGTTTTGCCTGATTTCCCCACATCTCTGATTGAAATATTCAGCTTCATACTGAACTCAATTTCTCTGACACAACAGTTTATTGTCAGCCTTGATGTCTTTCATTTATTTCTCATGTTCCACCCTCATACTGGATCATCCCCCAAACAGGATGATGTGTGAAGGATGCAGCTTAATGGCTCATATAGAAACCGTGACCTCAATCTGTGATTTCTTTTCATTACAGGCAGCGTGGAAAATAAATCTCTGTTCTTAGTCATGCCTTTGTTGTGGTGGGAAAAATGCACTTTCATATGTGCGTTAAAGGTTGTATGGCCAGATGTGGGCATAAAAAACAAACTTTGAAACTGTGATACACACTGATATTTCCTGGATGAGGAGTGAGAAGCCTCTAAACAATATGCAGATGTATGAGCGTCTGTTCTCCTTTGCTGAAGGCATTTCAGCTCTGTGTGAGGAATGTTGCGTGGAGCGTGAAATAGTTTCATAAAGCTTTAGGGAGGAGGTGTGTTTGATTCATAACTATTTCTCATTTCGAATGAAGTGTACTTTCAACCGTAGCTCTTTTTTTTGTAATGCCATCTGTTGTTTAGATGCCAAAATGTAGGAATCTGCATATCTCAAAACTAATGAGAAACTAATGAGCCATCACAAAAAGTCCATGAATACGAGCTGTGACATTACGTGGAAGGAAATGATCCGGCATGCAGTGACTCGTTTATGTTTTGTTTCCCATTACACAAATGGCTTTTTCCTTTTTCGATGAATGGAGATTCTTTTTCCTCACAGTTGACTTAAAAATCACCTCTACCTGTACAGAAACTTTTTATCTGTTTCAGTGAGATCTGACTCAGTCACTGTCTGCACTTCACCAATGATAACTTTACAAAACTTTCAGGATGCTGGTCCACTTACCTGTCGAAAGAGGGTGCTACTTTTGTTTACTTATTCAGATTGGCCTCAAGGGTGGCTCCAAATATTTGTGGGGACATGAAATGTGCCTAACTATGTGTGTAACTATGTCTTGTCTGAAGTTGCAATTAATCATTAAATGGTTTCTGTGGAAATGGAAAGTACAGCCACTCACTTTCTTGCCAAGAGCTGGATAAGAACATTGATGCCACTCTCATGTTTGAGCGGTAAATATGAAGCTATAGCTAACAGCCAGTTAGCTTAGCTTAGCTCAAGGACTGGAAGCAGGGGGAGCTAGCTAGCTTGGTTCTAGATGTTCAGTCAAACAAAATTAGCCTACCAGCACCTCTAAAGCTCGCTGATTAATAAATTATATCTTGTTCACTGAATCAATATAAAAACTGGAGTATAAAAATGACATGCTGTGGTTTTACAACTGATTACTTAACTATTTCTTGGCTGTGAGGTTGCCACTTCCGTACATAACCTCTCTGTGAAAACACTAACTGTCCTTTTCATGCTTTTCTAAGGACTTAACAAACAGATTTAATGTTAAGTAGTGAGCTTTAGAGGTGCTGATCGCTGACTTTTGTTACTTTTGGACAAAGCTAGGCTAGCTGTTGCCTCTGTTTTGAGTCATTCTGCTATGCTAAGCTAAGCTAACCGGCTGCTGGCTGTACCCTTAATGGTATACTCTACCCTTCAAATGACCATTTGAATGTAAATGACTCACTCCATGTTATGTTGAATTTGTGAAGAAAACTTTGTTGTTTTTTCCGCACACAGCCCCGGTGAACAAAGAATCTAAGAATAGAGAACATTGGTAAATTGCAGCAACACTATACCAAAACATCTGTTTACAAATTCTCACATAACTCATGCAGTATAAGCTAAGGTTCATTTATCCAGTCATATGCTCAGTATGTCCCAACCAGACAGATATTTCCAACTGGAAGTCAAACTTATTTACGCTCTCTTCAAAGCCAGACTCCATTGAAAAAACAGTAATTTTACTTTGCTGAGCACAGGAGCTGCTGGTCTGTCACAGCCTCGATCAGTTAGTTAGTTTGTGTTACTGTGTGACTTAAGTGGATCTGATCTACCCCTCAAAACACCAAAATCACACAATAACACAAACTAACTAACTGTTGGGGGCAGCAGTAGACCAGCAGCTTCAGTGTTTTTAGTGAAGTTAAATTACTGTTTTTGTCAATGGAGCCTGGCTTTGAAGAGAGCAAAGATTCATTAGGCCCGTTTCCACCGCAGGAACTTTGGGGTAATTTTATGGGGCCGGACCATTGGTGCGTGTCTCCACCGCAGGAACCACCCCCGAAGGACAGAGTTCCGGAACTTTTACAGGGGCTAAACAAGTCCCTGCCTCGGAGTAGGTACTCAGAACGGCCCTGAGAAACTCCTGGCTGGGGCTTGGAGATTACTTGGTGCTGATTGGATATACTCAAGGCGGGATGTGACGTTTTGTAATTAATAACATGGTTATCGTAGATTAGCTGGGCTAACCGTTAGCTGTTAGCTGTTAGCGGTGTCTGTAATAACTCAGTAACACAATAAACGGTCCATGAAAAAAATATTTTTTCCAGCGGATATCTTAGTTACAACATGATTGAGCTAGCAAAGCAGTTTTGTGTTGCTATGTGTGGTATTTATTCAGTTTTGGGAAATCACGATGTCTAGAAAGCATCAGCTGACAGGGACAGCTAACAGCAGCAGCAAAGCTAACATCAGGACGTCATCTGTTAAAAGCCTCCCGTTGTCGGATACGACATGAAACTACTCCAGTTAGCTCAATCATGTTGTAACTAAGACATCCGCTGGAAAAAATATTTTTTCCCGGACCCATTAAGTGAGTTATTACAGACACCGCTATCGGCTAACGGCGTCCCTACGTCGCCCCGGTCAAAATGGTCGCACAACGATTACGTCACATCCAGAGCCCGGTAACTTTACAGGAACCTTCCTCCTACTCTGCCCTCTCAGTGGAGACACGGCGGTTGAGAGGGCCAAGCGAGAGGACGTCCCTGTTGTAGTTCCTGCCCCCAAATAGTACCAGGAACTTCTTCAGTGGAAACGGGCCTATTTTCTCCTTCAATTTAGTTCCCCGTTGCAAAGGGCTGTCTGTTTGGGAAGAACTGAGCATATGACTGGATGAATGAGACTTGGATTGCACTGCATAAGTTGGTTTGTATACAGATGCTTTGATAGAGTTTTGCTGTTGTTAAACGTGGCCCCCTGTGACTTCAATCCATCAAGAACTTTCTCAGTTTTTGGATTCTTCATTCGCCGCAGGCATGACAGAAAAACGTTTTCATCCTGAATTCAATGTGATACGGGGTGAGTAATTGATATATACTGGGGGTTGAAGTATTCCTTTGAATTTTCCAAATTGACATCAGAGTGGTAGCTATCGATTGCCTTAACTACTCTTGGCAAGACAGCAAATAAGCGTTTTGCCCAAAATGTCAAACTTTGTCTGTAACATAGATGTATGTATGTAAGAGTTGACTGGACCACCTGTTTGCTTACTGCTACATCACCACTTATGAACTGTAACATGTGTACAGGTCAGAATACAGGTGTGTGTTTTAACCTCAGTTACTTTTTTTTGTGCAGACGGACTGCTCCAGCGACAGTGAGAGCGAGGACAACTTCATTGTCGTCCCTCCACGAGACCACCTGGGCCTGGCCATCTTCTCCATGCTCTGCTGTTTCTGGCCTCTGGGGATCGCAGCATTTTACTTCTCACAGGGGGTAAGGACACACACACACACGGGAATATAAACACATGCATGCATAACTCACACCTTTAAAATTTTGGTCTGTCGCACATGCTAAATGACACAGCATCTGTTTGCTGCGGTGTAGCATAAAACAGGTGCATCCTCCTACACACATACGCATATCCTCATAAATTCTTAGACATGCAGGCACACATGCACGTACACAGCTCTATGTATGAGTCATCACCAAAAGATGAAGGCCTATCACACATAAAAAGGGACTGACAGCTGACTCTCTTACTGCCAACGCAAGGCCAATTTTTACTGGGCAGCCCATCAATAACTCAAGGCCAATCTGTAATGGCTGCTTGATGCTCTGTAAACAGGCGGAAAGACGCCTTTAGGAAGAGTATATAAATCACTTTCAAGGCTCCATCTGCAAACTCCAAAAAAAGGAGGTGATCAAAATACCAAGATGAGAACAGGCTTTGAACTAGTGGCGTTTGAGGATTGAAGATGAACCCAATTGCAGGTGTGTGGACGGATGAAAGGTGACGAACTGTCAGACACATTTGAGCTGCAGTTTGGGAAGCAGAGTTTGTGGGAAGAAATGCATGGAAACATACTAATAACATAGTTTAATCCTTCAGAAAATGTTTTTCTCTGGGATGGTTTTAAAATGTACTTCCTCTGGTTTCAGGCACACAAATATACCCTCGAGTGTAAAATTGCAAATATACAACAGTTACCAACAAAATACAAGATATAATCAAGATGTATTCTTATCGTGGGGCGAGTCGCTCTCAAAATAAAACACTTTCTGCTAGCGTTATCTCCGTTTCCATGGAAATCATGAGGTCTGACTAATAACTGGGGAAACAAGCCGTCATGTCTGTAGACTCCTGTGTAATGAAGCTCTATCAAGTAGGCAAATAACTGAGTCACAGAGCCGATTTCTAGCCCCATGCTGAGTCAGCAAGCCAACTTGAGCTAACGTTACTGCTTTGTAGAGATCGTGGGACTGAATAAATGCCACACACATAAGGAAATTGCATTACCCCTTTAACACTGCACAACCTGGCAACATCTGGCTTTTGTGTGTAATTGGAAAGGTAACAATTGGTATGCATGCTTGGGTCAAATGACTCTGCAGTAATTGCAGGTATTTATTGGCTCTGGAACAATCAGCAGTAATGAAAATACAACATTCGGGTGAACATGGATTTTTATTTAGCACCTTTACCAGTCAGATGCAATGACACAGCAACACAAAATACCATTCATCTCTATCCACGCAGCACTCAAACATAGTTCCAAATTAGTCCACACTGAGTTTTAGTCTACTGGCAATTGGAACAGAGTCTATCGCCTGTTTTTAGAGGGTTTTCCCGTGTTTTAAATACCTGCACACACGTGCTAATTTTGGAGGAAAAGGGTGTTGTTGTAACTAAGATATCTGCTAAAAAAAAAAAAAAAAAATCCATGGAGAGATTTAGCTCCTACGTCCACAAACTTTACCTGCAGGATATTTTTAAAGTATATTGCTGATGTGATCCAAACATTTACAATAGAAGCGAACTCCAAAGCTTTGTAAAGTGCTAGAGTCAAAATTTATTTAAAATAATGATTGATTTATTGTTTCCAAAATTCACAATGCATTTTTTTTTATCTCACATGGTATTCTGTTTCATTTATATTTGTTGGAGTTTAACCTTTCAAGAACAACATTGTCACTAAACTGCTGCACACAGTGTAGGCGCACACCTGTATCAGCAGTCTAGCAGCAATGTCACAGCTTCGTTAATGATATCCATTAATGTCCATTAGGGCCATAACGGTACATGTATTTGTGTTGAACCGTTCGGTACGCGACTTTTGGTTCGGCATGACCCTGTACCGAATTATTGGGCGCAGGATATTATTTTATTTTATTTTGTTTTATTTTAATTCCGTTTTTGCGAGCCGAACCATTTAAAATATCTAGTTCACCGACGGACATAATTGAGTGTCGGACCGAGTCCCGTAAATCTCCACTTTCACTTTGTGCAGCGCATTCTCGCATTTTGACAACATGGCAAGTGAGCCTGACGAACCTGAAGACCCACCCGCAAACCTTAAGTCCTCCGTTTGGGAACACTTTGGTTTCAGGGTAAAATACGAAGATGGAAATAAACAAGTTGACAAGACAAAAGCAGTGTGCCGACAC